AGATATATACTATTCATGAATTTTTAGAAATAACTAGAAATCAGGGTATATGAAACATTTTAGCAGCTACCTGAAGGAGAGGGCTTCTGCCTCCTTCATGTATGTGTGAGCCAGGGCTCCTGGAAATAAGGCCAGGAGCTTGCTGCTTGCCTGCCAATTGCACAGTCAGTCAGTTCACTAGTAATCTGGAGCTACCTTTAGGTCCAAGAAGAAAGATGGCTTTTTTTAAAAAAAGTAAAAATCTCTTTAGATGCTACTATGTGATTTTTTTTTTTTTTTTTTTTTGTGGTACTGGGGATCGAACTCGGGTCCTTGCGCTTGCACAGCAGGCAACGAAACCACTGAGCTAAATCCCCAGCCCTACTATGTGATATTTATTGGCATCTGACCACTATCTGATTATTTGTTAGGAACTGATTTAGTTTTTTACCTAGCTCATATATGAAGCTGTATATATGAAAAAATATTACACTAAACAAATACCTCAAATAAGATTTCATGTACCCAACTCAGCCTCTTAAGGCACCCTCAAGAGTGCAAGGGTGATCTGGCTGTGATGTCTGTCACCCCATTGATCACCACAGTTGATTTGGCTGATCTAGCTGACTCTGTGGGGTTCCCCTTCCTCGCTCACCACTCCATGTGCTTCTCTCCTGAAGCTGTGCACTTAGTTGAAGAGGACAACCTTCCCAGATAGAGGAAGACTATTCTTTGGTCAAGGTATATGAATAGATGTGGTCCTCTGCTAGAATCTCTAAACAAACTCAAGGGAGCCAGGTGATCCTAGCTCTCAGGAAGCAGAAGCAGGAGGATCACCACAAGTTCAAGGCCAGCCTGAACTACATAGTGAGACACTATTTCAAACAAAACAAAACAAAAAACAGGAAAAAAATGGGAGAGGAAGGAAGCAAAGAAGGAAGAAGGGAAAGAAGGTGGGTTGGAAGGAAAAAATAAATCCAATGAGGCATTGACACCTGTAATTCTGAGCTTGGGCAAGAGGATCACAAGTTCGAGTCACTCCTGGGCAACTTAGTGAGGCGGCCCTGGGTTCAATCTTCAGTACTACAAACACACATAAAAAGAAGAAAAAAGAAATTGTCTCTACCCTTGGGAATCTGTCTAGGACACATTAATCACTTTCCATATTGCTGAGAGCTGTGTTGGCACCCATCTTTCCTTGTAATGAATAGCTATGAAAAGGCTGCGTGTCTCAGGCTCTATGCTAGGCTTGGGTTCCAATGCTGATAATACCTGCCTAATCTCTGCCTATTGTTGAGCCATCTGAAAGGCACTAGATGAAAGGACAGTGTAGTAGAGGTTGAAGTGGCATTTTCTTACAGTTCTTTCATTCATACTGTTATTCTCACTGCATTCTATTGCTTTTTTGTTGTTGTTTGTTTGTTTTTTTGGTACTGGGGATCCAACTCGGGTCCTTGAGCTTGCAAGGCAGGCGGGGGAACCACTGAGCTAAATCCCTGGCCCTCTATTGCTTTTAACATCCTGCTTTGCATCCTTGAAACAGTGAGTACATCCCATGCTCAGATCTTGGTTTCTAAATTCTCCAATAACAGGAACCAGAACTCCATGGAAAAGTGGTTGATTCCAGGGAGGGGTGGGCCAAGGAAAATATAAAATGAGCCTGGAATACTTTGTAGAACAGATTAAGTACTTCTCATCCAAAATGCTTGGAACCAGAAGTGTTTCAGATTTCAGGATTTTTGTATTTTGGAATATTTGTATGGACTTTACTGGTTGAGCATCCTTATCCAAAAATCCAACATCTGGAATGCTATAAATTGCAAGATATTTTTTTGGGGTGGTAGTGATACTGGGCATTGAACCTAGGGCCTTTGCACTGAGCTATATCCCCAGCCCTCTTTAAATTTTGAGATAAGGGTTTCACTAAGTCACTAAATTGCCCAGGCTGGGCTCAAATCTGCTGTCCTTTTGCCTCAGTCTGCCTAGAGCACTAGGCTTACAGGTGTGCACCACCATGATCAGCTTAACTCTGCAACTTTTTGAGTCTCATGTTGGCCCTTAAAAAGTTAATATTTTGTAGCATTTCATTTATTTTTGGTACTATTTCAGATTTTCAGATTAGGAATGCTCAGCCTGAACCAGGAAGTAAGGATGTGGTAAGAAGAAAAGAAAATTAATAAAAGACATGTCAGGAGGACATGGGAGCCAACCTGAGAGCTCCAGTCAGAATGATTTGAACAGCAAAATAGCTGTAGTATTTTATTTTTTTTAATTTTTATTTATTTATTTATTTTTGGTACCGGAGATCGAACTCGGGTCCTTATGCTTGCGAGGCAGGTGGCAGAACCACTGAGCTAAATATCCGGCCCTGTAGTATTTTATTATAACCCAACAAGTACAATGGCTACTCATGAGTCCATACTGATTAGATTATTGAATAAAAAATAAGGAAGAGGGGACAACCTTTCCTTACAGTATTCCAGTTAACAAAAGTAGAATGGATAAGGGAAATAGGAAATCCCTGTGGCAGCCACAGTAACTACTTCAGGCAGAATGCACAGAGGCATGCTAAAATTAGTGGCCAAGATTTTAGAGGAATGGGATGTCTATATGATCTCAAAGTATTTTTCTTTAAATATTCATCAGTTATTGTGGTGATTTTTAACTGTCTCATCCATAAATCCTCTTCAGGAGATGGCACTTAATTCCCAGGCCCCAAGTGTGAGTTTGTTGACTCAATTCTAGTGTGGAAAGGGAAAAATAGTGACATGATAGTCAAGTGATCAAGATTAACAACAGTAGGGATAAAAGATAGGTATTACAGACCCTTTTCTGATATGACAAGAAGAGCATATTGCCTCTAAGAGTCTTGTCTAATCATGAACAAGCATCAGACACCCAAATACTCATGATCTTCAAAAGTATCAAAGTCACGCAGTTTTAAGAGCAGACCAAGGAATCAACACAGATAAGAAGAAACAAGGAGACATGCTGAGCAAATGCCTTGTGGGATCCAGAACTGAATCCTCTAACAGAAAAGGAACATGAATGGGAGAACTGAGAAGTTCAAATAGTGCCTGACATTTAAGTAACAGTTCTATTAGTGTCCATCCAAATTCAGCCTGATTGTATAGCAGATGTTAATATTCAGGAAAGCCAGTGCATAGAAACTCTGTGCTTTCTCTGCACTTGGCTCTAAGCCTAGAATCATTTCAAAAGAAAACATTTGCAAGGTGTGGTAGTGTAAGCCTGTAGTCCCAGCTATTGGGAGGCTGAAGTGGGAGGATCCCTTGAGTCTGAGTTCAATGCCAGCGGGCCTGTGCCTGATCTATGGAAACCTTTTTGTTTCAGGGGTGATGCAGTGTGTGATTGCAAAGTGTTCAATGCCTTCCTAAACATGATGGCAGATAAAGTAAGCCTCTTCAGAGCATAAGCATCCACCTGCTGCAGAGCATCATACAGGGGTACTATTCTACCTTCTCTTCTGAATCTAGGCCAAGACAAAGGAGAATGAAGAGGAGCTAGAGCAACATGCTCAGTTTCTGTTGGTGAGCTTCAACCACATTCACAAGAGGACAAGGAGGGTGACAGACAAGTACCTGTCTGGTCTGGTGGATAATTAAGTTCCATTTCCCATTGATCTTTGTGTGCATGTGTGTAAATGTTTGTGATTTGGAATGAGGGGAACTCATTCTTATATCATCAGTCCAGAAGACAATGGGTTCAGAACAAAAGCTCTCAGGGATGATGTAGCCTTCCCCAGAGTGTCAGTTAGTTTACTCCAGAAGCCTCTTTTCTGAGCTATTGAGATTTTTGGCCTTGATATGTAGTCCAGGCCAGCCTTGAGGTTGCTCACTGTGTAGTCCTGGCTGGCTTTTAACTCATGCTACTCCTTCTGCCTCAGCCTTCCGAGTACTGGGTTCATAGGCCTGGTGAGATTTTTTACAGTACCTATCTTGGTGACAGGAGTCATGTCCCTTTGTCTCTAAATCTCACCTACGATGGGAGGATCCAGCCCATCATCTCCTAGCCCAGGGTCCAGCCAACAGTCCCTAAGTAGAATGAGTAAACAATGGGCTTCTCAGGAGCAAAAGCCCACACTGGCACTATTCTACTCTGTGTGCTAGGAACCAAAGCAGACCCTCTTGGGACATGTCCCCACTCTGATGAGAACCCTCAGAGATGGTCAGGTCCACCCTCTCTGAGGTGTGCAGGCCAGTGGTAGTATACACCCACACTAAGCCTGCCTGCAACTCCCTGAAGGTCCAGGGGTTTGGGAGCTTGCTATAGATGCAGCATGCCTGGTCCAGGTAGCTTCACTATTCAAGGGTAAGTCAGAAGCCTGCCAGGAGCCACAAGAATAAGAACAAGTCTTACACATATGGGAGATGTGTCTGAGCCAAGCCTTTTGAGGAGTGTGCCATGGATGACCTTAAAGTTACATAAAAGCATTGCTTCTCCAGCCCTGAGGCCACCAGAACCCTCACCTGTTACTTTTAGGAGCTTTTTCTTTTTACCCTAGGGCAGTGTGGCAAACCTATGGCACATGTGCCACAGCAGGCTGTTTGTATCATTGAAAGTTCTAAAGGGTTCACCATCACTGCCCTAGAGTATCATGCACAAATTTTTTATCTGTGCGATGATGTGAAAAATATTGGGGAACCCTAGCTGATTACCAATAATTCTCCAGATAAATTACTAGAATTATTTTGGGGAGGGAGAGGGTATGGCCCGGCTAGTGTAACCAAGACAGCCTGTTGTTATCAGGGTTGAAGCAGGCCACCTGGGGCATGTTAGGCCTTGAGGAATGGGACTTGCTGGGCTTAGGAATCATTTCTGATCAGCCACTATGGACTTTACTGTGGAAAGCCTGCAGAGGGCTGGTGCCTGCCTGAGGGTATCCTGGCATACCACCTTCAGCAGCCATCAGCAGGTGTAGCTTGTGCTGGTGCAGGGGGAGGAGAAGGCGGTGCCCCACCCCCACTCCCACCCAGGGAGTGAAGGCACCTGGGAGGCTCGACTCCTGGGCCCTGAGAGCCTGCCTTGGGTATAGGTTTCCCCACTTGCTCTGGAGTGGGACTGTATTGAAGACCATGCTGGACATCCTGCAGACTCTATCCCTGTCGCTGAGTGCTGTGAGTATCCTGGGTGACCTGGGCTGGCCAACGCACCCACTGTCCACCCTGTGTTGTGGGGTGCTCCTCCAGTGATATGCCTGAGACTAATTTAGGCTATACGTGGTGAATTTGCTCATGGGAGGGGCCCAAATCCTGCCTGATGTTTCCCAGTAAGCTGCAGCAAGTCTGGAAGACCATGGTGGATGGGGCACTGGTGGGAAAGGGTGGCAAATGTACTGCTAGGCCAGTGGGTTGGCTGCGGACACCGCAGGAAGGCAGGTTGGAATAGGACTCTCACTGTGCTTACAGGACATTCATAAGGACCAGCCTTACTACAGCATCCCTGACGTGCCCTATCAGATCACAGTTCCTGACACATACAAAGCCCGAGAGGTAGGCCCTACCTGGTCCCTGCACTAAGGCCCGTTTTCACTACCATTCCCTGAGTATATCAGGGCAAGTACTTGACTACAGGAGGTCCCTCTGTACCCAGCAGTTTAAGGTGTGAGTGGTCTTGGCTTTGTTCCATAGTGAGGACACTGAGCAGTGCTGGAGTCCTGCTGCAGAGGGCAAGGGCTAGCCTTGGCCTCGCCTGCCTCCTGACCTGTGAGTTTCAGACATATTGACTTGGAGGCATATCACCTTTTTGCTGTTTTGGTAATAGAGTGGGACAGCTTTGGCATTGACTGACAGGCAGAGTAAATAACTCCAAATGAGGACGATGAACTGGGTATCTCCTCTCCCTGACTCAGTCTCAGAGCCCCTGCTATGGTAGGATAAAGCTCAGCTCAGCTCAGCTCTGTGCTCCTGCAGCCTGGGACAAGGACATAGAAACTCATAGAAAACACACCTGGTTAATCTGAACGGGATCCAGACCAGCTGTCACTGGGGAGTTTTCTTGTGCTGTGATGTGGCAGACATGAGGATATTTGCCACCCGGAACAGCCTTCCCTTTAGTTATTGACCTGGGATATGTTGCACTGTGTGTGCCTAGTGCAAGAATTACAGACCAGGGCCGGGGATTTAGCTCAGTGGTTTCGCTACCTGCTACGCAAGTGCAAGGACCCGAGTTCAATCCCCGGTACCAAAACAAAAGAATTACAGACCACAGTGTATGTGACTTCCTGTACCCTGGAGCCTTGGTGTTAGAACATGATCATTATTAGGACTGCTGTAGCCAGGCACCATAGAATGGATAGGTTAAGGAATAGGAAATGATTTCCTCACAGTTGTGAGGGCTGAAAGTCCCAAGATCAAGGTATCCACACAGGTGGCTGCTCTTCATGGCTACCCTCTCACTATAGTATGTCCTTCCATGATCTCTCTGTGGGAACATATCCTTAGTGTTTCTGGGTGTTCAGATTTCCTCTTCACATAAGGATACCAACCAGATTAGATTAGGGACCATCCTAAGGCCTTTTAATTTAGTCACCTCTTTCAAAGTTCTGTCTTCAAGTACAATTTTATTCTGAGGTACTGGGAGTTAAGGTTTTATGAACATAGTTTTTTAGGGAAGAAACAATTCAGCCCATGTCAGTCACTACAACAGTCTGGATAGGCTGACTTCAGGTTATTAAAAAGCATTGTCAGGGCCAGGGATTTAGCTCAGTGGTCCTGCTGCCTGCCTTGCAAGCGCAAGGTCCTGAGTTCAATCCCTGGTACCAAAAAAAAAAAAAAAAGCATTGTCACCCACTTCCAGAGCATTGTGAAGGACTTTGCTGCACACTGTGGAATGATCCTGCAGGAGGCCATGAAGTGGGCACCTACAGTCACCAAGTCTCACCTACAGGTGCTTTCTTGAAGTCATCAAAAAGCGATCCGTGTGTGTTCATAATTTTTAATTTTTATTAGTACATGTTTGCAATACAGAATGATTGCATTCATTGTGGAGAATTGGTACATGTAGGCAATCTTGATAAGGTCCTTTGAGCAGTCCAGGGAGCTTTACACAGGCACAGTGAACTCAAAATACAAACAGCAGTAGTATGAATAAACAGAGACCAAGAACATCAGTTGGTATAAAGCCTGAGGATACTGGACACTCAGTACTAGCAACTCAAGGTAGTGCTCTGTTAGGAGCACCTTGATGGGTGAGTGTGCTGGCCGTCAGGACGGGCAGTCCTAGACCTGACCATTCACACCAGATGAGTTGCAGAGTGTGTGGCAGGACTTGGGGCTCCTAGTGAGATGAGTGGGGCCTGTGTGGTGGGCAGAGGAGGCCGCTGGAAGACCGCAGCAGTGCCAAGAGCTGAGTGCATTGAATAAACCTTAGGCAGAGCCAGGGACTTGTGTCCCAGTAAAGCTCTACCTGGAAAAAGACTACGTAGGCTGCATGAGTAGGTACATAAGAGTTTTTCTCAGATAAAAGTACTGGCTTATAAATGTGGATGACTGAAAGGTGAGCCATTGTTGTAGACAGTCAAAAAGAGACAGAACAAAAATGCCACAGTATGTGAGACTGGAGAGTCACCTTAAAAGGGGTCAAAGAGCTGGGTGTGGTGCCACACACCTTTAAGCCTCTGGGAGGTTGAGGCAGGAGGATCAAGTTCAAACCCAGTTTGGGTAATTTACTGACTTATCAAGACCCTCTCTTAAATAATTAAAGGGCTAGGGATGTAGGACAGTGCAAAGGCCCTGGGTTCAGTCCCTAGTACCCCACACAAAGTGTGGGGAGGGGGCAGATCAAAGAAAAGAAAAATGCCACTAGTAGGAATCTAGGTTAGCAAAGAGCAGGCATGTCAAGAGGAACTTATGAAATTGACCTCACATTTCAAGGCCAGTTCAAAGTGTTTTTGAGTCTGGGCCTGGTAGTTCCTGCCTGTAATCAAAAGTATTTGGGAGGCTGAGATAAGAGGGTTGCAAGTTTGAGGCCAGCCTGTGTAACATTGCAAGATCCCAACTCAAAAAAAGAAAAAGAAAAGAAAAATAGTTTCTAGGTATGGAATCCAGAAAGGGTAGAGCAGCCAGCTCCAGGAGCTTTTGAGGCTGCTTGGAAATGCATTGTACAAGAACATAGGGCTTGTATCTGGGATTGCTGTGAGTTTCCTCCTTCTGCAAAGGGGTTGAGCAGCAAGGGGGAGCTGGACCAGGTGGACCCTGTGTGGGACAGACCCACAGGCTAAGCTGGACAGAGCCACTGGGCTGGGTAAATAAGCCATTTGATGCCTTGTAGTTTTCACATTTGCACACTGGAATTCTTCAAACTGTGGCAGTTTTCCAAACTATTAATATTTGGGAAATAATCTGATTGCTGTTGTTTCATGTAATCTGTAGTCTAGAGAGGGGAAGAGCCCTTTAATGCCTAAAAGGTTTAGTGGACAAAAAGGAGTCAGTAGAAAGACTTTTTTGTTTTCTCTAGCATTTTCTCAGGTAACCTTGTCCTGGAAAAGAAGTAGAAAATGACAGAGCTTGAAATGCTCTGCATGTTTCCCCCAGGTGCCACCCTTGGCAACCCACCCCCATCCCTGCTTTCCCGTTTCCACAGCAGCCTACCCTTTCTGAGCATCACACAGCTCTCACTGCTCAGTCCCACCTCCCAGCCTCAGTCTTCCTGTCTGCCCTCATCTATGCCTAACAGAGTGGTTCAGTTTTAATAGCATCTGGTCAATATACTTCCTTTTAAACTTGATCACTAGCCACTCTCCATAACCATGGGATCCATGGATGTTTTTCTGTGGCCTAGTTTTATGTGTATGCTCCTGTGTGTTTTTCTGTGGGGAGTTAGTTTCTGTTGATGTATAATCCCCCAGCCCCCAACTCCATAACCTTACTCCTGTAGGTGGTGCTCTAGTGGTGTGAACCCCTGTGGTCCCAGATCAGGAGGCCTCCCTCCCACTTCTGGGCTCAGCCAGGTATCCCTTTGTTCCAATGCCTCCTCCATTGGCCAGCCAGGAGGGCTCAGGTGCTTGTCCTGGGCTCCTGATGTCTTGCCTGCCTTGGACAGCAGGGGTGCTGCAGCAGTGACCATGGCCTGTATGCAGGCTCCACCCCATACTGCTGCACACTGTCCATAGGACCAAGACCTTGTAGCTTATGTCCCAAGTGGCCAACACAGCTCTAGGTTAAGTGGTAGATTCTCAGAAAGGAGTGATCCTCTCCTCTTAACCATGTGACAGCCACTCTGGGGCTTGGGCCTTGTCCTCATTCATAGATGAGCAAGCAGCACCCAGTCATAGACCTTATTGACTATCTCAGAGCTGAGGAGTAAGGTGCAGATGCAACATTGAAACTTGGTGCTTCCTCTGCTACTCCACACCTTTTTTGTAAAGCTTTATTTTTCCCTTTAAGTGAAATAGCATGTTTTCTTCCTGTTTTAGGAATATCTGAACAAACATCAAAACTAGGTGTCAGGACTGTCCCAGCACACAGGGCTGGCCATGGCTACTGAGAGCATCCTTCAATTTGCCGGATACAACAAGCAGAACACAACTCTCGGGGTATGTGCAAACCTCCTGCTGAGCAGTGACACCCCCCCTCTTTAATTTGTGGAAGCAGCATTATAGGAGTGAGAGAAGGACTCAAGTTTATGTGTAGTTTGTTGTGAAATTCCCCTCTGTACACATGTGTTGGATGTGTGTGATGTGTGTTGACAGACAGGAGTTGGGTGACACTCGTGAAGGAAGAGGTGGCAGCCCAGCCTTGGCAACTCAGTGATTTAGAAAGAACCTGGTCAAAATTAAAAATAAAATTAGGGCTGGGGATGTAGCTTAGTTCAAAGACCCTGTCAGTCTCTAGTACCACAAATGAAGAGGACAAGGAAGAGAAAGAGGGAGGGGAGGAGGAGAACAGCAGCCATTAAAACAGGCATTTCCTTATTATACTTATATTTTTAATGTATAGATTTATGGAGATCAAAAGTTGATTTGTTAATGAGGTCAGATTTAGATTTGAGTGTCTGTATCCAAAAGGAAAGAAACTGACCTCTTTTAGATAGGGACAGCATCATTTCATAGTTAATGTTTATGTGGAATATTCACCTGGCTCCCTAATAGTTCTGGGGTGTGGAACTGCGCACATGTACTTCAGCTTCATCTTGTTCTGCTTGAGATTAATTTAGGGGAGAACCAGTTCACAATGTAGTGGTTTCTGAGTTAAATTAGAGCTGAAAAGTAAATGAGAATTAGAGCAGGCAGTTAACATCCAGTGATGAAACTGGCCAGCCAGTGTTGTGTTTTGGCATCTAACAACCCTAGTGCCCACTGCCCAATCACTCCCTCACTCAGGATTTGGTTAATCTGAACAGGAGCAGGACTTTCAGGGCATGTGTGCTCTTTGACTTTCTCAGCATCAGGTGTGGGCTTTACATGGGGAGGTACAGATACTGAGCACCCAGGAGGAAGGGTGGCAGGACTTCCCTGGGACCCAAGCAGGAAGAGAGGAGTCCTTGCCTAGGCCCGAGTGCTCTCTGGACTCTGTGCAGGGCCTGAGGCAATGCCAGGGGAAACACTTGTCTCCAGACCTCATTCATAGTAGAGTGCTCACCTCAAGGTCACTGACTTTCTCCAAAGACACCAGCCTCAGCACATGTGACCAGCTGAGCCATGTGCAGCCAGCACTCAGACCTTCCTGTGTTGGCAGGACACAGTGGGGTCAGTGCCCTGAACTAGGCCTCTCTACCACTTGGAGGACACAGTCAGGTGAGGAGAACTCACAGATTTTGACTGCGAGGGCTTATGACTACTGAAAGGGTCGCAAAAGAAGGGGGGGGCACACACGGACATTCAAGCAACCTTTATTGGGGCAGCAGTCTGCACCCTGCCGGGCTGACTCACAGGATGGAGACCAGCAACTGCGTGGGCTGAGCTGGAAGCTTATATAGGGATCTTGCAGGTGGGAGAGCACTAGTCCATTGGTGGGGGTGGGGGATTGGGGCTGGGGTGTGTAGCAATAGGTTTTGGTGTGTGTGTGTGGGGGGGGTGGAATCACTGCATTCAGGAAGCCCCTATCTTACTGGAACATCTGACCACAAAACTGGTGGGGCAGAAGGACCTTAACTAAGCAGAGAGTCACTAACAAAGGGAGGTCATGCCTTAGCTATGCGGAAGTTCCCCGTTCCCTGTGGCTGGAGTGGGACAGGGGGAAAGGAGAGGAGGGGGCTTGCTCTGTGGGGGCTCTGAAATACCTAACAACTACTGCTTCAAAGAGTGATTAGGATGAGAAGTTTGCCAGGTATAGTGGCACATGCCTGTAGTGCCAGTCTGTTGGGAGCAATGCTACATAATTCTAGGGAAAAATCATTTGAGTGGGCCTAGTTCTCCTGCCTACAGCCCAGCTATGACATTCCAGGCATAATTGCATTTTGGGGTCACAACTGAGACCTCAGTGATCCTGCAATGCTGTAATCTCCAGGACAAAACCACACCTGTAGAGACGCCAGGGAGGAACCAAATCTTCATCTGCATAGTTCCTCATCTTCTTAGATTTCCACTGCCCCCCAGCCTTTTGTTACACCTTGTTTATCCCAATGTGAAGTACTGAACTCTAT